GCTGAAATGTGATGCCAAATCCTATGTTGTATGCCACAATTTATACAGCATACCACTCTCTATAGCCAATGTATATTTTTTAAAAGTTACATGGTGCTTATCTGAAGTGCCCTACTTGGATATTGGATCTAGCGGGGTTGAAAGGAAGTAGCATTATCAATTGGGAAACCAGGAAGTCAGCTGTTGAATCCTAATGAAAAAGTAGCATTATGTGCCACAAACTGAATTGCTTCAGTGAGCCACCACTGGTGTCTTTTCACCTGTTTTTGGTTAAAGCCAAGCCTCTTGTACACTTTCTGAGGGCAAGATCAGTCTCAACAACCTTGTAGCCACTGCAGAACATTAATTTCTGATAAGAAAAGACAGGATACATTTTTTTAAAAAAAGATAAACAAAAGTAATAAACTATCTTTTCAGTCCCTGTGATCCCTGAACCATCAGCACTGCCACTATCCAAAGCCTGTGATTGTGCTCCTTTCCCCTATGCATCTAGTTAAAACAGTAGCGATTTCTTAGAATCTCTCTCATTCATAATTGTTTTCATACCGTTGGTTCAGGCTTTAATTTGGTTAACTAAGATGGATGGCCCGAAACTCTATGCAGATATTTGAAAGCCAGAAGGCATGAAGGGCTGATCAAAAAGCTGGAATCACAAACACACTTACTAAGAAGACTAAGAAGAAACATACTTTAAGGCTGGGCTGTACATTTGCTTTTGAACAAAACGAACAGCAGCAAACTGTGATGAAGCTTACATCTGTACAAGCTTTCAAAAAGTGCTGTGAGATGAAACCGGTACTCAAAGGGCTGTCAAACTCTTCCCTGCTAAGATGTAAGCAGATCCAGTACTGTGCATTCATATATCCTTATATATGTATACACAATGACAAGCATTTGCTTCTGCTACTGTAGAACAGTTTCTAATGAATTGCTGATAACACAAGTTGTCCATCACCACAATGACATAACTTTGCACTGTAGAAAATGTAGTAAAGAAACACTTTCTTCACAAAAGCACCAACTGAAAAAAGAAAAAGGGAAATCCAGTCCTTTAAATTAATCAGAATGTGTTTTAAAGGGTTTGGGGGGGAATGATCCAAAATGTTAAACACTGGTAAAATGCATTGTAAGCATTTAAGGCTCCAGAATATTTGTATTTTTAAAACAAATCCATCTGACATTTGGAATGATCTGGCCAATCTAGGTTTGAGCCTGGGGCTTAGCATATTCATGATTATTTCAAATGTTTTGTTAGAATGCTTTCACCTTATGGGAACATGCAGATACCGCTAGTATAAATAGGAAGTGCTATGTCAGGGGAAGTACTAAACTTTAGCATGTGGCTGGTTTATTTGAATTCAATAGGATCGAATGGATTAAGGAATGTTACAGTTGTGTTGGTCCCCAAGTTTGACAATAATAAAGCAGATACAGTGAGTGATACCTTTCACTGGAGCAACCTCCAATGCTGGTGTGTAAACGTTTCCTTCTGTGAGAATTGATAGTATAACAGGGTAGCATAACCACTTACCTACTTTATTTCTGAAGTGGTTAACATGAGGAATGTATTTAAACTTGGTTCCTGAAACAGAGTCTAAATTAAGATTCTTGATCTTGCAGCAATATTCTTTGTTGCCACCTGAGTATGTGAGTAGCACCACGGAACAAAATGGAAAGAGAGGCCTGATTGGCATACTTGACCTTACTCTAAAGTAAGGAAATAAGGACACAAAATGCTGATCAGATCTTTCTGGGTTTTTTAAAGGCCAGTGGCAGTGTGAGAAAAGGGGTTTAATTCTTCTGTGCCTATGCAATTGTGCTGATCAACCCCCCCACACTGTAATTAGCCCTGGGGAGGTAAAATAACAGGCAAATATTTGGCAGTCTCGCCTATGCAATTGTGCTGATCAACCCCCCACACACACTGTAATTAGCCTTGGGGAGGTAAAATAACAGGCAAATACTTGGCAGTCTCCCCCCCCCTCCTTTCAAGGCTAGTAATTGCATAGTGTGGTGGCAGTTTCGATTGGTGAAATCATGTAGTGGTCCCCCCACCCCTGCTGTAATCCCAGTCTGAACTGTGGCTCCAGACATCTGATATTGGCTTTTTAAAAACACAAGGAAGATCTGATCATTTGCTCAAGACCTCTGATCCACTGAAATTAAATAGACATTTCCAAATAAGGATGAAAAAAGTGAACATATACCTTCCCATAGGTGAGGTTTTATAGGTTGCAGTGGATGCTTCCAAACTTAGCATCTCTGATTGTATCCCAGTAACATTCCATTGGATTCGAGCACACTCTGAAACAGCCATGAGAGCTCCAAAAACTGAGAGCCCTGTTGACCACAGCTAGATAGCACTGTTGCTGTGGTTGCAGTGAAATGCATAAAGATATTGCACTAGGTTTTTTTGTGGCAACCTCTAACCCTAGCCATTATTATAATATTTATATTAACCTTATTTAAATAACTGTAAATTTCCATTTGTTACAGGCTATAGTGTATGGCATGTCTGTCGTAGCACCACTATCGCTATCTAGTCTCTTTGATGGCATGGGCATTACTGTGGTGTTGGTAACATCTCTATAAGAGAGAAATATGTATGTCTGTGTGTGTTATATTTCCATTTTAATGCAATTTCCTGAGCAGCTCTCTTTTCCTTTTCTCAGCAATCAGCTCCTGAATTCTCTGGTTCTTTGTCCTTTCATAAGGTGGCCTCTTCCTCAAGATGATGTTGTGCTGTGGTACTTCATTTTCCAGTCCATGGATTTTATATGGAACATCCACTGCATTAACTTCTGGCTGGTCTTCAGTCGCATTGGAACTGGTGATATTTATCTTGGAAACAGTTGGTGGACCTGAAGAAGGGTGTGGGATGTGAACTTCAACATGTGTTGTATGTGTGGGAGTGAAGTTCTCTTCAATATCATTAATCTTACTTTGATCAGATTCTGTTGTATTGTCATTTCCTGTTTTGTTACTATATATATTACAAGACTTGCAACACAGTTTATTGTAACCAGGTATTGCACAGTATCGGGAGAGAACTTCCATGCGACAAAACATTGACTTGTCTCCTTGGCAACGTTCTTCTGGAAAAAAAATAGAATAATGTGTATGCTGTAAACAAGAGACAGAATTATACATACTTCGATTTAGAAGCTCTTACAACAACAGGCTTAATATAGCTATACTGAAGCTCTCTCAAATTCTTGCTAGGCAAAAAATTCAATTGAAATGTTATATATTGACCAAATTTTCATGAGATAGACATGTTAAGGACTAAAACACTCAACATATCCTCAAATGTCATGGATTCAAGGCCTTCTTAGCCTTAAACTGGCATCTCATGGCTACCATGTAGAAGACATTTGGATTCCATGTGATCATTAAAACATGTGAGAATCACTCATCACATGAATTCTCCTGATTGCATGGAGAATTTCCAAATAAACATGACTCAGTCCTGTCAACAGTGATACTGAATGTGGAAACTCTGGGGAGCCCACATGATTTATGTTGTGCCTTTTGTACATTACAGCAATGCATAGCCTGACAACGTATAGAAGTATTTCTAGCATCTTTTCACATGGAAGCCATAATATCAAAATACTGGCCTTGAATGGTTACCTTGAATTTGTCCAGCTGACAATGGGCCCCTGATCCATTACTGCTTGGGAAGGGAATTCTCAGGCAATGAGATATTGGGCTCATTACACTAGCACTGGTTATGCTTTAACCAGGTCGTGGAATAGAGGTTAATTTTAATCTATTGTGAGAAATTAGCCTATCATCATATTGTTTTTAGGCCTAATTGCCTCTATAAAAAACCTATGCATATTCTCTATGGCTCCGTACTTTGTTCACTAAAAAGTATAGCTAATGCCGCAGTAACACAAAATTGTGAAATGCAAGTAGCAAAGCAATTTTATAATTTGTTAATCTCAGTCTATGAGAGGTGAAGCACTGCAGAGTCATATATCCACACTTCAAAAAACATTCAAACTCTTATTTGAATGCATCAAAGGAAACCCTGTCTGAGTAAAAGCTTTATGCAGCACAGATAAACACAGTTGTGTTTTCTATTGTCTTCAGTGCATTGAAGTTTAAATCCATAGAAACTGACTTCATACTATATTTGCCATTGCTAATCTGAAGGAATAAATTGGGATCAAATACTTATATAGCTAAGTAACACAATGCAATGAAAGCACTATAGTGATTTGCAGTCCTAGGGGCAGGGGAGGGAGGGAGGGCCAAAAGGAACAAAGAAAGGAGACAACAGGACTGGAGAAAAGGCTGCATTGGGTGATCCATCTGTCAGCCGATGGCACCAACCATTCACCCAGCCTTTGAGGGAGAAATGTGGGAAAACAAGCACTGGGATCCGACATGGGTACAAGCCACTGCATGGTTCTGTTGCCACATGAGGGTGAGAGCCAGCCAACCGCCCCTGAGCTGGACATATTACCAAATGGTCCCACCCCCAAGCCCCCTTATGGGGGTCCTCCAAACCAGGGGAGGCAGGCACACAGGATCAGCCTCCCCCACAATGGATCCAGCCTGAAGCTGGAGGCCACCAAGCAAGGCCCCAGTGGTAGAGATGGCTGTATAGGGGAGGGATGAAAACTCTGACTTCCAGGTTCTCTTGAAAGCTCCACCCCTCTCCAGTGGTCCAACCTCCTGATTGGCTGGCCTGGGTTGCAGCTAGGGTCAGCCTACATGGCTCCTTGCTGCTGCTATGGAGCTAAGGGGAATCCTTCCCCTTTGCTTGCACCCTGCCAAGAGAGATCCAGGTCAGTCTAGAGGCCATCACAAAGCACTATAGCAAATGTACATTCAAGCACCAGCTCTGTCCAGGTACAATGACAGTGTCCTACAGGTAACCAAAGAATATGGGTCTCTCTCCACATCAGACAGTGTGTTTGAGAAGTTAGTGGGAAGACTAGGTCCCGATTCAAGGGGAACCCAGTGACAGTGCTTTGGTAAGAAAGAGCTGTCTGAGCACAGGGCTGCCTTGTCCCTGTGAAGTTGCAGATGAGGATGTGAAGACAAACACAGGGTTCACTGGACCTCCTTGCTGAACAGATTGCAGCCAGGAATCTCATTTCTAGAAATATGACATCTTGCAGCCAGGAATCTCATTTCTAGAAATGTGAGGACACGGGGAGGGAGGAATCAGAAAAACAACATCCCCTCCATTTGTTTCTGAGGCCCTTTTTTCAATTGTTCTGATGGAAAAATTTGGGGGAACCACAGAAGAGAGGCTCCTATGAATTATGTTCAGTTTTAGAATAAGTAAAATCAGGGGTCATTTCATAGAAAAAGAGGTGCAGGAGTTCATTAGCATATAACTCATTAGCATATGCCACACCCCCTGACATCACTCGAAGTGTGTCAGAAGGGGAAGCAAAAGGGGGGGGCATCTTCAGAAGCCTCTTCTTCCTTTCACCAGCAGGCCTGCCAAGGCGGGGTGGGGTGGGGGGAAGCGAAGAGAGAAGGGGTTTAAAGTTGAACCCCCTTCTCTCTAGAGTTGTGCCACAGGGGTGGCACGATCTTTCCATTGTATTCTATGGCCCCATAGAATGCAATGGAAAGATCGTGCTGCTGCTGCTGCGGTGTGACTCTTGAGATAATGGGTTTAAACTTTAAACCCCTTATCTCTTTGCTCCCCCCCCCTGCCTTGGCAGGCCGGCTGGGGAAGGGAAGAGGAGGCTTTTGAAGATGCTTCCCCCCCTTTTTTGCTTCCCCAGCTAGGCATTTAAATCCCCCCCCGAGTCTCTCCACAAAAGCGGAGAGGCTTAGGGGAAAAGGAGGGCATCTCTCCCCGCCTCCTCTTCCTTCTCCAGCCAGCCCGCCGTGGAGAAGGAAAGGGAGGCGGGGAGACATGCCTGGCCTCCCTGTGCTGCAGGGCACCTGGAGAAGATTGGGCTGGCTGGGAAGCCAGGCATTTAACCCCCCCCCCCAAGTCTTTTTGCAAAAGCAGAGAAGCTCAGGGGGAAAGGAGGGCATGTCTCCCCACCTCCTCTTTTTTTTCCAGCCAGCCCACTGTCGCGGGCTGGCTGGAGAAGGAAGGGGAAGTTTGGAGACATGCCTGGCTTCCCTGCCCGATCTTCTCCAGGTGCCCTACAGTGCGGTGGGCTCGTTTCCATCGGAGCACCGCTCCGGGGTGCTCCAGTAGGAAACGACCCCTGAGTAAAATGCTTCTTAAGGAAAAGTTTTCACATTCAAAAATGTATAGCATGAAAAATATTTGTGGTCTTTTTTTGTTTTTCCAATGGAAAACCTGGGCAATTCGGGGTGGCACTGGGGGAAAAAACCTGTGAAATATTTTCTCTTTTTCAGTGAGAAAAACCCTTGTCTTACAAAGCATCCCACTCCTTCCAGGTGTACAGCATGAAAATATTTGAAGCCTTTCTCAATTTTTCCAATGGGCAATTTGGGGGAGCAGAGGGGAAAAAAACTCATGCTGTAGACATACACAATATTTTCTCAAGATCTTTTAGTTTAAATGTAAATAATTTGGGGAATAATTAATATACTATAATGTGCTTAATGATAATACAATGTGCTTAATGATAAAATGATATAATGTGCTTAATGATAAAAAGAATATTATAGCTTTGGAAAAAGTGCAGAAAAGTGCAACTAGAATGATAAAAGGGTTGGAACACTTTCCCTATGAAGAAAGGTTAAAGCGCTTGGGGCTCTTTAGCTTGGAGAAATGACGGCTGAGGGGGGACATGATTGAGGTTTATAAGATTATGCATGGGATAGAGCAGGTAGAGAAAGAGGTACTTTTCTCCCTTTCTCACAATAACAGAACTCATGGGCACTCAATGAAATTGCTGAGCGGTTGGGTTAGAACAGATAAAAGGAAGTACTTCTTAACCCAAAGAGTGATTAACACATGGAATTCACTGCCACAGGAGGTGGTGGCGGCTACAAGCATGGACAGTTTCAAGAGGGAATTAGATAAGCATATGGATCAGAGGTCCATCGGTGGCTATTAGCCACAAGGTATAGATAGGGACTCCGGGGCAAGTGATGCTCTGTATTCTTGGTGCTTGGGGGGAGGTCAATAGTGGGAGGGCACCTAGTGACCTGGCCCCACTGCTGGACCTCCTGATGGCACCTGGTATTTTTGGCCACTGTGTGACAGTGTTGGACTGCATGGGCCATTGGCCTGATCCAACATTGGCTTCTCTTATGTTTTTATGTTCATTGCTATAAAGTTTAGCTGAATATCCAAACATGCTGGCAGTCCTACCTACTGTGACTCTATGCAAGAGATTCTGCCCCAAAATACACTTTCTTGCTTCAGAATTTGTTTTCTACCTTCAATTTGTTTTTGTTTTTCCTATCTGTCAGTTGGCGAAAATTAAAGATATGTGTGCTATGGCAGCATAGGGTTTGCAACTCTTTCTCAAGTATCTGATGTATATAAAAGCCCTAACATATCAGTACTTTCCATTTCTCCCATTGGCTATGCTGTGCGCTCCATCAGCCATTGGCCAGTCACCTGCCACTCAAGAGTACTTGCGTGCCATTGGCCGGGTGCTAGGTCCGCTCTTCTTGCCCACCCACTGCCAGCTTGGACAATTTTCCTGTCAGAATAAACTGTCAAAACAGCCATCTCTCCTGATGAAGATGCTTCTCCTGCTTGGTTCCTCTGTGGCTGGCTGGCTACTGAGGTGGGTCACTGGCTGTCAAACCATTCTCTTCTCCTCCTGCTGTGGACATAACTTTCCCCTCAGTGGCTGTTGCTAGGTAACCAAACTTGGTTCTGTCAGTAAACAGACAAAGGTAGGAGACCCTTTCCAGGCCTACTATGGCCTTTGTGAGGAACTCATTGGGGCCAGTCCTGAGTAGGGTTGCCAGCTTCAGGTTGGAAAATTCCTGGATATTTTCTGTTGGAGTCTACGGAAGCCAGAGTTTGGGGAGGGGAGAGACCTCAGCTGAACAGAATGCTATAGAGTCCACCCTCCAAAGCAGTTATTCTCACCTGGGGAGCCCTTGCTGCCAATCTCCAGGTGAGGGCTGGAGATCACTCAGAATTAAAACTGCTCTCCAGATGACAGAGATCAGTTCC